TAGTCCTTAAGAGCACTCGGTCCTCATCCCTTTATCAGTTTTAAAATTTCAGCTAAAACCAAAGACAAACAAACAAAAGGAACCTTCTCATGTATATCGTTACAGGCATACCTCAGAGATATTTCAGGTGTGGTTTCCGGACCGGGGCAATAAAACAAATATTGCAATCAAGTAACACAATAGTTTTGGTTTCCCAGTACATGTAAAAATTATGTTTAAATTATACTGTAGTCAATAGTGTGCAACAGTATGTATAAAAAACAAGGTGCATGCTTTAATAAAAAATAATTTATTGCTAAAAAATGCTGTTATCTGAGCTCTTTGGGAAAATGGCACCAATAGATTTGCTTGTTGCTCCACTTCCAGTCAAGTCTCCTCCCATCACCATTTATCTCCCCTTCACCCTCTCCTACCCCAATCCCCGCCCCACCTGCCTTTCCCTCTGGTAATCACCATGCTGTTGTCTGTCTACGAGGTTTTTGTTGGGGGTCTAATGTTGATTCAGTCTTTTCTCTACTTTAACGCATGTTCTTAGGTGCAAGGAGACTTAATTTGATAGTCACTGGATGCAATTGTAAATTGTAAACAAAAAAATGCTAATGTAGGCACTGAAATCAAGTATCAATTTCTGGTTATGAAGTGGTCATCTGAATGAGTCATAATATATTTACATTATTTTTTTAAGATTATCTCCAAGAAAAATGTACATTTTTTTTTTTTCATTATGAGAAACACTGGCTTATAGGAATGGCTACCAAAATGTCCTGAATTTTCTCACACTTCACTATTTCCAATGTTCAGGCCAATGTTTAAAACACAGATTTTAATTTTGAGCAGACACTATTCTGTTATTTTCTTGAACCTCTGGTCTGTTTTGAAGGAAAAGTCCATTGGGAATTTCCTCTGTTTTCCCTTTCTCCTGGCCCTTTCTCCTTCCTTAAAAGGCAGGCCAGTGGTTTCAATCCAGCCAGGCTCCCTTTCACGGCCTACATTTGGGACATTTTCTTGTGACCCTGAGAGGAAACCCACAGGTTATGAACTTGCCTACCAGAGATGGAGTGATGGTGTAACTAATGAAAGTTAAGCTTCAGGGCACCTCCAAAATCCTGGAAGAGGTCATATGTTTCTGGAAAACTTACAAAACATATTTAACTGCATTTGGACAAGACTAGTTTCTTCTCTTTCTCTCCACCCTCCTCCCTTCCAGGCTTCTCTCTATCACACTTTGGTTCCTATTGCGAGGATGATATTCGTTGCAGGAAGCCTTTGGGGCCCAGCTAAGGTGAACTTAAGCTGAGGATGTTTGCTTCTGGTTTAGCGTAACAGAGGCATGTGGTTCATAATCACATCCAGGTTTGGTAAGGTACTGCGAGCCATTCTGGGGTGGAAATGGCTTCCAGAAAAATCCTTCCAAAGAGCCCACTTTCCTGGCTTCTGGGCACACGGTGAAGGGCCTAGAGCCATGTGCAATATGAACCAGTACTTGACACTGGACAAAGGAAAACCAAGGTTGAAATATCTGGAGTGAGAAGGCATTTTGTCATTTTTTTTCTCCCAAGCATAGGATGTGTGTAAGCAGAAAATTTGATTCCTCGTGTCTAGTGAAAATGGAAGTTCTCTCTTACCAGGAATATACTCAATACAGAATATAAAATTATAAACACTCATGATGTTTTTATCACTTTTGATTGGAATAAGACAATGTAAAATTTATCAGAATTCTTGTGTTTGTAAGGCACAAACCTCTACTAGTACTACAGAAATCAAGAATATCTCATAAGAATTGAATTTTTAATGCACTTCAACTATCAGTAATAGAAAATAAATGCTGATCAGTGATGCTAGAGGGAAGGATGAATTATATTTCTAGTTTCTCTATAAAAATATTATTATAATAGCTGAGGAGAGGATGTAGCACAGATAAGGAGGAAAAGGAAAGTATTATTGTAGAGTGTCAAGTAGCATTTTTGTAATTTTTTTCCTGGGTTTTGTAATGCTCATGTTATTTTTCAGCTTTTGTATTTTGTAATTTGTGATTCATATTTTGTTTTACATAGTCATTCTAACATCAAATATTATATTCATAGTTTTCTATTCATGTTTTTAAGGAAGGCCCCTAAAATTATGGAAGTTTCAGGAGCCTGAAACTGAATCCACCCCGCCTACCAATACACATTTTTATTCTTTAAATCAATATACTTCCCAATTTTAATATAAAGAGGAAATAAAATAACTTTATAATGAGCAAATATATTCGTGATGAATATGGTGACAACAAATACAGCCTAAGATGAGGGTGAGGTGTCAGTGATACAAATCTAAACAGCATAGCTATTGGGGATCAGATTTTCTGAAATAGTGAACAATTTAATGATGCTGTTCCAGGAAAAGCAAAGAAAAATCTCTCCTCAATATACATGGTAATTTCTTTGTTGTAAAATCTAGTATATTCAAAAAAAGTAAAAAACAACAAAAAAGTTTGCATTTGTTGGTCAAAACCTCTACTAGTACTAGGTTTAAGGCTTACAGGCTCAAACATTTCTAAAAGAACTGATTATCATTTTTTTATATGCAAGGCCATCCTGGGTATTACAGGACATTTGGCTGAAAATGTATCTGCAGACCCATCACTGAGACAAGCAACAAGCAATACTCATTGCTGCCCAGCCCCATCTCTCTCTCTCCCTCTCTCTCTCTCACACACGTACACACACACACACACACACACACACACACATATACACACACACACACACATTTCCCTCAAGGGACTGAGAGGTTCAGACAACTCCCTGGCTTCCCAGCCCCCACTCTTACCCACCCTCACCCCCAGAAACACTGGTCACAGTGCTGTTCAGCCAGATCCTAAAGGATTCGGGCTTCAGAATTTACCTATTAAAATGCAAATGTTCTTGGCTGGGCCAGGACCTCTTGTTCTTATCAGCTAACAACCTAAAGGAATCCCTTTAAGAGGAGGCTGTTTCCATTTGTTAACTGTGTAATTCTGTGAGAAAGCATAAAATAAGCCTGGCCTACAGTACATTTGGCTTGACTCTGCAAGACTGGGGTTTCTCTGTCCACAACCACGCCCAGGAAGGATCTGAGCGCCCCTAGAACATCTCCTAATGCAGGGAGCCGTGTGTGGGGGAGGCAGGCACAATTGCTTCTGTGGAACCTGGTTGCATCCTTTGGAGGATGTATGGACCCACTGGTGACTTTTCTAGCTTTTGGGGTTTTCCCCCTATGGATTGAGCAGGAAGTTGGGGAAATGGTCTCTTTCTCTTCTATTTTCAAGTCCTAAGCTCTTTATAAAATAATCATAGTAACAGTAATGACTATCATACAAAGCATTAACTTATCTGCCAGGCTCTATTCTAAACTTTCCACTATATTAAATATTTTAATGTTCACAACAGAGAACAGGCCGGGAAGCCAGGACCAGTGGAATAGGGAAACTGAGGCAGGCAGCTGAACAAACTGGCAGAGCAGCTTAGAGCAGATACAGAGGTCACCTCCCTAGAGAAAACACACACAGGAGGATTTTAAGTGACGGTGGCAAGCTCTGTAGGAGCGCCCTTGGGAAGGCTGCCACACTTGAGGAGGCACTTCCCCAGCATCAGCTGATAAATCCCGCCCACTGCCCCCAGGTACACCACGCCCAAAGTCTCATCCACAGCCAGGTGGTTCAGCTCCATCTCACGCAGAAGAAGTCCAGCTTCCAAGGCTGCAAGCCCACACGTGGGCCCACCAGGCCCAAGAGGGTCAACAGACCCCAGAGCTGCATCACTCCAGCACCCAAGGCTACCCTTGGGCAGGTCATCTAACTTCTCTCTGCCTCGTGGTCTATCTGCAAGTCCGTCACCAAGACTCAATGGCAACTGAGCCATGGTTGGCACTGCACTCCAGCCCATGTAGCTGTCCCCGAAGACAGGCCTGTGATTGGCTTTAGTTCTATTTCCTTGAGTTTGGGAAGAGCCAGGCTTCTTTCAGACTGTTCAGTCTCATTCCTGGCTCTTCCCTGGCTCGTGTCCTTATCCTATCTGATCCTTTCCCAGATGTCCCTGGGGTTTTCTCCTCCCCTTCATGGTGGCCACTTTGGCTTCTACTGAGCTTGTGCATATGCTAAGTGAAAAGACATCCTCTGTGCCATCTCCCCCTTCCCCCGTCAGTGGAGGGAGCTCCTGCCCACTCAGATGCCTGGAGGGTCCTTTCCTAGTTAATCCAGCCAGGTCCATGTGCTACCTTCTTTTCGTTAACATCTAGCTAACGGCCTATTCTACAAGTAGCTCTGGAATTTCAGCAATCGCTGGCCATACTCGTGAACATGCATAAATGATATATTGTCATGACTAAGGGTTTTCCTCTAGGGCCGTGGTCGGCAAACTGTGGCTTGCAAGCCACTTGTGGCTCTTTGGCCCCTTGAGTGTGGTTCTTCATCAAAATACCTCGGCCTGGGCGAGTCTATTTTTAAGAAGTGGCGTTAAGAGAAGTTTAAGTTTAAAAAATGGGGCTCTCCAAAGAAATTTCAATCATTGTACTGTTGATATTTGGCTCTGTTGACTAATGAGTTTGCCTTCCACTGCTCTAGGGTTAGATTTTTAAATGTCTGAATCCCAAATTAGCCATTTAGTACCTACCCTAAGATAAGTTGCTTAACCTCCTTTAGCTCCAGTTTTCCTACCTATAAAATATAACGAAGGCACCTGCTTCATAGGATTAATGTGAGAAATGAAGGAAACATCGCCTGTGCCCCACTTTCCTAAGTTGCATTGATAGACAGTTTAAGAATGTCCTCTGACTGTGTGTCTAGCCCTGTGCCTGTCTTTTACTGGATTCCAAGTATATTTCTGGAGATGGGATGGGGAGTAAGGAGATACATATAAGATTGCCCAATTAGACACCACTCCAAATTTTATCTCCGGGGAAGGAGGCAAACCCAGGCACAGCTGATCAGGTAACCAGATAGGACACAGAAAACATTTCCTTCTCCTTTTTGGGTTTAAGTCGATCTTAAGGCCCTAGACTTCAGCTCAGTCTGCACTTGGAGGCCCTAGGAGAGATGTCCACCTCTATGGGAGGCCCTGTCCTGCTGTGGACAGCTTTGCTGCTCTTTTGTAAGTAGAGGCTCAGTCCCCACTCTTGCAGCAGCCAGAATGGATTGGGAAGCAGCTGGGGTGGGATTGCTGGGTTTAGTGCTGATTTTCCTAGGCTGTGCCCAAACCTTGGGGCATTTCCCAGGGATTCTGTAATGGAGACAAACTGGAAAGCAGAGGAAACAGAGCTGAGCAACATCTCAGCAAAAAGCTAGAGGACTGAGAGCCTAGTTTCTTGCAATCATTCTGGCATCTCCGAGGACAGGAAGGGGTGGGGAGGGTACAGAAAAAAGAGAATCTCCTTATCTGAGGATCAAATGGCTAGGAAGATGGTTAGCCCTTAAAATTCCATGAATGTAGACATCGTCTACACCCCGGTCCCCAGTTGTCAGGAGCCTCAGAAGGCTGGGGATGGACACTAATGTATCCTCTCTGAACATTTGCAGCTCCAGGTGGCATGCCAGCAGGTGAGTCCTCTGTCCTCGTTCACTCAGTGTTTCCATGTGTCTGGGCATTGCCTCCCCCCAGTTTCCCTTCGTTCCAGCGTCTTTGTTTTCTAATGATGATTACTATTTTTCTACTGATTGTGAATCTACAACTCCCTGTTCAACCCACTTCCCATGTTCACCTTGCCTTGTCTTCCTTCTTTTCTCTCACTCAGAAGCATCTCACATACCAGTTCACTCACTCCAGTCACCACCTCCTCTTTTTATGCCAACAACCACTACTTTGTACCATTTCAATGTCTCGGCTTCTCTTCCAGGCACTATTATGTAATCTCACTCAATTGTTATATCACCATTCTTCATGTTGTTATTTTACAATTAAGGGTGCCGAAGCTCAGGTTTAGTGATTTTTCTGGAAGTTACACAGCAAGCAAAAGACTGGATTCTAACATGAGTGCCTTGGATTCAAATCTGGCTCTCTTTCTACTGCATCACCCTTTCTTCATCACCCCCTGCTACTTCCTTAGCTTCAGTTCATATTTGTATCACATCTCTTTGTTCTTGGAAACCTTTTAAGACGGATCCTCTTGGTCTTCCTCATTACCTTCCAGAATTGGCATGTATTGTTTGCTGTGTAAACACTCACAACAGAGTTATATATCCATTATTCATTCATTCATTCACTCCACGTGCCAGCCATTGTGTCAGGCTGGGGTTGAACATGACAGACATTGTCTCTGCCTGAAAAGAGATTGCAGTCCTCATTTACAAATTCTGAAAACTGAAATCAAGAGAATTAAATGAGTTCTCTTATACCAATTTTAATTTTTTAAATTTTTGGTTTGCTTATTTATTTGTTCTTTTTAATATCCTGCATTTTTGTCCTGTCTTTCTCCCTAGGTAGGGAGCTCCCTGGGACCACACCAGTGTTTCCTCCTTTTTAAAATCCTAAACAAACTAGGGTCTTATCAACATCAGTAGAGGGTAGACAGACCATTGATTGACTATTAGTATATCTGTATTTTGAAGCCTAGACAATTAATTTTCTATGATGTTTCCCCCTCTGTATCTCTTTTCACAATTTGATCTTCCCAAAGCCACCTGGAAATCTACATTGTCCTTGAATCCACCATGGAACAGAATATTTCAAGGAGAGAATGTGACTCTTAGATGTAAAGGGAACAATTCCCTGGAAGTTAACTCCACGAAGTGGACCCACAACAATACCATGCTAGCAGTGACAGCTCCAAGGTTGGACATTGTGCATGCCACATTCCAGGACAGCGGGGTATACAGATGTCAGAGCAAAAACCTTATCCCAAGTCAACCGGTGAATCTAGAAGTCTTCAGCGGTAAGTTCCAAGTCTGTGGAAATGCAGGTTTTCCCAGGTAAAGGACAGCCTCTCTGGTGATGGGGAGCAAAGAAGTTATTCTAAGGCTTAGGGTACCAGAGTGGAACTCAGGGACTCGCCCAAGACCCATAAATCTCTCTTCTTCCATCTCTACTTCTGTATGCTTTCAATATTCTGCCCATCCTCCAATGATATTTGTCCATTTTATTTCACCTCTGACTATCTTTTCTACATAGATTCAGATGCAAATTATGTGATCACTGACATGTTGGGTGTGTGAATATTGCAAAGAGCTATATATCTGAAATAGGATCAAAGGTTTGATTTAAAGATTTGCTCTGCAATATCCATGTGCAATGGTCTGAATATTTGGTTGTACCCTTCATTTTGAAAGATATCTGTGTACATTCCTCATGTCCTCTATTTTTACTTAAGAAAAAAAGTTTATGTTTGTTTTTTCACCTGCATCACTTTCCTATTGATAATTATTAGTGAAGCCTGCTTAGACATACGTGGGTTAGTTAGTAAATGCTGAATGATTAAGCTAATGATTTCATTTGAATGTCTAGGTTATTATCATATTTTACTTTATATTTTTAAACATAAATATACTTTAAAGTAAAGACAAACTTTGTATTTTTCTCTTGAATGAAAGATGTTTTAACATCCATATGCAAATCCCAAATAAAAGCAAAGGAGTATAAAATAGCTTCTTTATGTCTGTAAAGTAGATTCTGGTAAAGTCCTCAAGGATTGCTCATAAATAAAATATGTTTGCACAAACTAGCCACATTTCCACTTAACATTTTTCTTTGGTGACTGCTTTTCAATTCTTAAAATGACAATAGTCATGGATCCTAATTTTTCACGGACTCATTACTGAAAATATTTGTTGAGTACTATCAACTTCTAGGTACTGTGTTAGGCACTGGGGATATATTGTAAGGGACAGACATGGCCCCAAACCTCTTGTATAAAGCCAAATAAGGACAAGGATATTAAGTAAATGATTACACAAATAATTAATAAGAGTTGTTATACATGTTCTGAGGAAGTTTTAAGATCAACAATAAAACTGAAAGTCCCTAATGAAGTAAGAGAAGACAAAATAGACACTCTCCTAGGCTAAGATGCCTTGGGCAGAATAGGTTTGCTTCCCACTTAGAGACTAGAACTAACAACAGTGGAGCTAAAGGGAATCCTGGATTTCAGACCTTCCTTGGATAGGCTCAGCAGAAATGTCAGAGAAATTTTATGGCTCCAGACTTACTATTCAGGAAGAGAGAAGATTTATCAATATAGAAGTCCCACTCTAAGCATTATTTTGTTTCCTTTTTATTGACTTTATGAGCCAAGAAATATATTAATGATGAACTATGGCTCTGACACTGACTCAATGCGGGACCACATCTATTTTATCTACGTGTTATTTGTCTATCCCCAATCTATCTATATCATCTATTTGTTCATTGTTAAATAAGTAACTTAATAAATGCTCTTCAGATTGGCTGCTGCTTCAGTCCTCTTCTGAGGTGGTACAGGAGGGTGAGTCCTTCCTCATCAGGTGCCATGGTTGGAAGAATAGAAATGTCTCCAAGGTGATTTACTACAAGGATGGCATAGCACTGAAGTACTGGTATGATAACTACAACTACTCCATTACCAATGCCACCACAAAAGATAACGGCAACTATTACTGCACGGGCAAAATTTGGCAGATAAACTTTTCCTCGGAATCCCTCAAGATAACTGTAAAAAAAGGTGAGTTAGATCTGGCTGGCATGACTCAGTGGTTGAGCATTCAACCTATAAACCAGGAGGTCACAGTTCAATTTCTGGTGGGAACATGCCTGGGTTGCGGACTCAATCCCCAGTGTGGGGCGTGCAGGAGGCAGCCGATCAATGATTCTCTCATATCATTGATTTTCTATCTTTCTCTCCCTCTCCCTTACTCTCTGCAATCAATAAAAGTACTGTTTTAAAAGGTGAGTTAGTAAGAGAAAGGGAAGGAGCCTATAGCAGAGGAAGGAAGAGAAGACATCTTAACTTGAAATAGTAGCAGCTTGATCCCTTAGAAAATCTACTAAACATCTAATGGAGAGACATGGACTATAGTATCGTTCTCAATCTCTGGCTTAATTTTTTTTTGTTTGTTTGTTTAATGACAATAGTAATACCTGCTCATATTAAGGCATTTTAATAAAGATTAAATGTGGTAATATTTGTGAAATGGATTTATAATTTGTTAAGCACTGCCCAAGCATAACACATTGCAATTAGTTTTGATCTCAAAGTCACCTGCTGCTCCTTGTAGGACACTTATATTTACTGAATTGAAGGAAAGTATCAAAGTTGAAGAAACAAAGGCTGGGCAAGAAAACCAATAATCCAATAGGCTGTGTGCCTGTATATTTGGAGAAAAAAGAGAGGGCTTACTGAGTGGGGAAAATGGGCAGGTAGGCAGCCAATCAAAAGGACTGCTCTTCCCAAACTTCGTATAACAGAGAGAGCCTTTGAAATATTTGCCTTACAAGGAGGAAATTGGCAATCTTGGCTCATACTAATGTCTACAGAAGCCTGAGTCCAGAAGCCAGAATTAGGCTCTAGTGGCCGCTCCTTGTTAACTAATTTGAGACCTAAATACCATTTAATTGTTCAGTATCTTTGTCAATAAGTAAAGGGTTTGGTCCAGACTTTATCAGAATCACTTGGAGAAATTTAAAAACAATATTGATGTTCATTTCTCACTCTTAGAAATTCGAACTTACTTGATTTGACAAGGCATGCACACATCAATATTTTTAAAAGCTCTCTCAGGTAATGGTAATGAATAGACAGTGTTCAGAGCCACTGATCTAGGTGAGCTATAAGAAATACCTGGCTTTAATATTTTGGGTCTCTATAATTCTAGAATAATCACCAAAAGCAGTACTTTGTAAAAAGAGTAACAGAGTCACAAAATAGTGCAACTGGAAGGAAATGTAAAGATGATTTTGTTCAATATCTTCATTTTACCCAAAAGGCATGCAAGAATGATGATTGATTGATTGGTTGATTGATAAATAAGATACTGATGACCCCTTATCTCACTCTGTCTCCTTTCTATCCCAAATAATGTGTGGATGTTAGTCTTTTCAGTTTCAGGAAAGGGGTTATGGTTCCTATTACCTTCCCCGTTGGGCATATTGGCTAGAGAGACTGTCAGACAAGGGCTTGGGGAGATGTTCAGGACTCCCTAGACTCCAGGGAGCACAGTGTGAGGAACCCAAACTCAGAAGTGTTTTCTCCCTGCACCTGAGAAATGCCATGGCAAGCTATTGTAGAATAGGGAAGACCATGCCAGCCCTTTCTCTTGGGGAGGATGAAGCTTTGAAACTTGCTGTTCAACTTTTAATATTATTCAATAATGTTATGTTTCCTGTTGCACCTAGATTCCTTTCACCAAAGCAGCTACTACTCATGGCAACTCCTTATCCCAGTTTTGGTAGCCATCCTGTTTGCTGTGGACACAGCGCTATTTATCTCAACCCAGCAGCAGTTTGCATTCATCTTGATCAAGAGCGCCAGGAAAGGCAACAAACGTATGGACCCACAGCCACAGCCCAAGCCAAGGCCCCCAAAGTGATGTCACCACTCAAGAAACATTTGCAGCAACAGTTCCCTCAGGCATCCGCAATTGCTTCTAATGTCACACCCCACTCACAATGTCCATAGAAAAATCTGTGTTCACCTGACTGCTCACTAAACCAACTACCACTGGTTAAGTGGCATGTAATAAGTGCTCAATAAACATCAGTTAAACAAGTAAAAAGAAGGTATAGATTCATTTATACACCTGTTTATACTTTATTTATATAGTTTTGAAGGAAAAGTACAATTTTAATAAAAGCAATATGAAACTGTGTGTTGCTTCCAAGTATCCAAGGCTTGCCAGTTGTTTTACTTCTTTCCTATTTTTATTATTATTATTATTATTATTTTTGCTTCTGGAGGCAAAAACCATGAGGTTTTAGATTAGGCAAGTTGTCTCTTGACCATTGTAAGTTTGAGCTAGGAGTGAGAAGACATGGTGGAATGATAGTGAGGTTGATCATTTTTATATTCTCTCTTCAATTTACTATCCATGAGCTTCTAGGTTTTGGCAGAATCTGGGGCAGTCTTGAGTCATAGCACTTAGGGGATGAGGCTCAGTCTAAAATCCCCTTGTGATTGTTTCCTCCATCTAACCCCCTCGCCCCAAACTTATATCTTTAATACCCTCTTACAGCACCTGAACTAAGCATCTTCTAAAGAGATTCTAGTAAATAGTAATAATCAGTACTCTCTGCTCTGAAAAAAGTCTGGAATGGAATAAATCTCAAGCAAAGAATTTAGACATTTCTGGTTTGTTGATTTCTCTTTTCATTTTATGTCTTTATTATATTCATTGGAGTCCCAGGATTATCTCATAGAATAAATGGGACTAAGTTATAGCCTCTTCTAAAGCCAGCTATTAGAAAGGGACTAAACTAATCATGAGACAAAATGGAATTGTTCATAAAAATTTTTTTTAAGATAAGGGGATGATTTTTTGTGGATTCTGAGAAAAATTTATATCTTAATTTTTAACCCGTTTCCAAGAAAATGATACTTAAACTTCTGCCAACTGAACTGAGCCAAAGCAAATAGAGTTCAGTTGATAGGATAAAATTATTTTTTAATTAAAATATAACTAACTGGCCTTCTGCCTTAGCCTATATCAACACTGAAAATTTGGGGCCTCACTTGCCAATTGCTGTTCTAGAAATGGTGCCCTAAAATGTAAATGGAGGCTTCCAGGAAACAGAGATGTGAATGCAACTAGTTTATTAGGGAGTGCCCTCAGTACCAACCCTGCGTGAGAGTGAAGGAAGCAGGACCAGGCAAAAGAAACGTGACAGAGACACAGCAAAAGCCTCAAACAGTTCAAACAGTGGTATAGCTTAGAGCCTGGAACTGAGGTAGCCCTTCCTGATCATCTTAAATTGATCATACCGTGTTCATACCCTGAACTAGCAAGTCATGGAGGCCAACCATGTGGCTTTGAAGGAGGCAGCTCTTAGCAAGGGCAATTCCTGAAGAGGGACTCAGCTGAGAACTGTCAGCCCAGGACACTCCCAGCAGCTGGAGCAATGAATGTGGGTCCTGCAGGGGAGCAATCAGCCTAGCGTACAACAGTCTCAACGAGAGACCACTTCAAAAAGAAGGAAGTGTGACACGGGCCATCAGACCTTTACCTAACCTGTTCATCTAGATGAAGCAGATCTACGAAGGACACGGTTTTCATAATGGTTCTATGACTATCCTCACAGAAATGTACTGGCTCTATCATTTCTGGAAATCTGGACACAAAGGCAAAGATAGCGTTTCTCTCTCAGACTTCACGTGCCAGTGTTTTTTGCTAAGTGAAACATGGTAGCTTTGCTTAGGGGATTTGCTGACTTCCACTGACCGGTCCCCACCTCAGTGCCCAGCCGCCTTCATGACACTTTCACAAGCTTTTGCAGGGTCCTCACTTGCACCAGCTGGGCACTGGGGCCTGTAAGAGCTCTGTGTGAAACTCAGGCTGTGCTTGGTCCTCAGTAGAGAAAGCCAGAGTGGAGTGGAAGGATGAGAGAGCAGATTTTTTCTCCCACCAGAGCATATGCATTCACCTTCTGTAGATGCTCACACATGAACTGCTTTTACCAACTGTGGTTTTAAGCTGAAGTAGCTAAGGAGAAATTTCTGAAGATTAGCCTCTGCAGGCTCAGGAACTTACTGGAAATTCTTTTTAAGTCAAGCTTCAGACTTCCACTCAGTAATAAATATTTTCAGAGGTTTTTGTTAAAGCGCTTACACTGAATACTCTTTCAAAGAGTTTAGCTCTATCTTGCAAGGGAAACTGTATTTTTGCTTGACTCTTCCCAACCTCCATCCTCTTTCACTCCCGAATTGGAAATGTGAAAAGCATTGGACTTTTCAGCATCTCCTGCTTGAGAATTGGAGTTTTCTCACCCAGGTATCTCTGGACTATGAACACCCCACCTTTGGGCTCTCCGTAGCTGATGGCTTTTGCTTTCCCTCATTTGCCCTCCTCATTCCCAGGAATGATCAGTTAGGGCAGTTCCCATCACCCGGAAAGTGTGCGTGACCTCTTTTGATGATTCTTCAGGCTGTGGCAGGATCTTAGCAAGTGGCAAACACATATTACCATAAAGCCTTCAATGTCTACTGGAAAACATACGCAGGCATGCCTCCTCACTTAGTTGTTAAAATATTTGCAAAAATTACTCCTACCCCCATAATAACACACATACAAAAGTCTTTCTAATATGCTTTCTATTCCCTCTTAAGAACTTTGCTGAATTCTGTGTCTTAATGGAGTTGTATTACTTAACATATCCTCAGGGTATGTATAGCTATGTGCCTGTGTGTGTGAGAGAACATAGATATGAGTGGCTCGGGCATGTAAATCTTTCTCCTACATTCTTAACTGTATGTGAAGTCATTTTTTTCTCTTTTCTGAAGAAGGGCATTAAAGAACAGTGATTAGTTCAAATGAAAGCCTTCAGTTTTAACACCCAATTAAACTTAGTCTACTATTCTTTGTTTTATTTTATGTATATTTTTATTGATTTCAGAGAGGAAGGAAGAAGGAGAGAGAGACAGAAACATCCATGATAAGAGAGAATCATGAATCCACTGCCTCCTGCAAATCCCCCAATGGGGATCGAGCCCACAAGCCAGGCATGTGCCCTTGACTGGAATCAAACCCGGGACCTCTCAGTTCACTGAGCCAAACCTATTGAAGTAGCATTAAGATCAATACATATTGATAAACCAAGTAAAAAGCCTTCACAACCATTCCTCATTAAGGGGACCGGGGCTTTCGCCCCATGGCTCTGCACAGAGCGTCTTGGACCTCCTTGTTCCTCAGACTGTACACAACGGGGTTGAGCAGGGGAGTGATGACAGTGTAGGTCACTGAGATGAGTCTGTCCTGGCCTATGGAACTCTGGGACTTAGGCTTGAGATAGATGATGGAGGCACAGCCATAGTGGATGACCACCACTGTGAGGTGGGAGGCGCAGGTGGCAAAGGCCTTCTTCCGACCCTCAGCTGAAGTGATCTTGAGGATGGTGGAGATGATGAGGACATACGAGATAAAGACCAGACTCATGGGGAGAACCAGGACGCAGATGCTGACCACAAAGTTGATGATTTCATTGACCGTGGTGTCTATACAGGCCAGCTTCAGCAGGGGTCTCACGTCACAGAAGAAGTGAGAGATGACAAAGGCATCGCAGAAGGGGAGGCAGAACACAGAGGTGACTTGAACAGTGGCCATACCCAGACCAATTCCCAGCGACCCAGATACAAACCGCACACAGGCCTGTTTACCCATGATCACTGAGTACCGCAAGGGGTTGCAGATGGCCACATAGCGATCATATCCCATGGCCATGAGCAGAAAGCAGTTGTTGATACCAAAGGTGAGGTAGAAGAAGAGCTGAGCGGCGCATCCTGGTTTAGCAATGGGTTGATGAGGACTCAGCAGGCCAGAGAGCATCTGGGGGATGATGGCCACAGTATAGCAGGTCTCGGAGACGGACAGCATGCACAGGAAAAAGTACATGGGGGTATGGAGGTGACGGTCCATGCAAATAATGCTAACAATAATGGCATTGCCCAAGAGAGTCAGCAGATACAAAGTGAGAAAGACAACAAAGAAGACAAGCCTGTGCTGCCACTCAAAGCTGGAGAAACCCTCAAAGAGGAACTCGGTTACAGCAGTGGAGTTTGGTTTTGGCATCGAGGAAGGTCTAGGTCTGGAAGATCTGGGCAAAGAAAAGAAATGTGTGATGAGTTAACTAAGAAAGAGAATAGGCTGGACCAAGGCCTTCACTAAAGGGCTGCCTCTCTTCTGAGCAATGCTCCAGACCTCGAGGGCCATCACTATCCAGCTGTTGACTGAATTATCACCTTTGTCCTTCTTCTTCTTTTGTACTACAGACATGCTACCTTAGGACCCTAGGATTGAGGTCAGAGAGAAATCTGAGAGGGAAAGCACAGACAAATTACAAGGCAGATTTTAGAGAAGTAATTACCCAGCCATCGAAGGAGTGAGTCCAAGTCAAAGAACAAGCCCACCTCTATAGTTTTCTTCAAACACATTTGAATTAAACTCCTAGAGATTCAGTGAGGGGCAGTGTCCAAGGTGAAAGATAAAAGACATATGAGGCTAATATCAACAGTCAGAATGCACTACCGACAGCTAATGCTCGATGCGGGTCCTAGACTGGCTTTTCCTCCTCAGAACCCTACGTCCTAGGCTTCACTTCCCTATGCCTTGCACCTACAATCCACTGTGATCATGACAGATTAGAATGGCACAGCAAAAGAAACTGTCAACAACATGAAAAGGGATCTCACTGTATGGGAGAACATACTTACCAATTAGACATCTGATGAGGGGTTAATTTCCAAAATGTGTAAAGAACTCATACAACTTGACATAAAGGAAGACAAACAATCCAATTTAAAAGTGGGCAATAGATGTGCATGGACATTTCTCCAAAGAGGACACACAGATGGCCAAGAGACATGAAAAAATGCTCCAAGTCACTAATCATCAGAGAGATGCAAATTGAAATGACAGCGAGGTACCATCTCACACCTGCCAGAATGGCCACCATCAACAAATCAACAAACAAGGGCCAGCAAGGATGTGGAGAAAAAGAAATCCTAGTACACTGTTCATAGGAATGCATATTGGTATAGCTACTGTGGAAAACATTAAATATTA